CTTCAAATGGTACTTTTGATTTCTTCGCATTTTGTTTTGGACAATCTACTTCATTTTTTTTCTGGATATTACATTTTGTATATTAAAGAGGGAAAATTTGGATGGGGAATATTATTTATTTTATAATTATGAAGAAGCAGGGAGTTTGATATTTTGCAAGTTTTGGTTTTCTTTTGCTCCTCAAATCAGCTGAAATTTAAGTATGCCTTTTTATCTATACAAATACAAAAATTGTGAATAATTCAAATAACGAAATACATTATTGCATGCGTACTAATTGAGAACTGAGGGTGAATTATCATTTGAATATTTCTTCTAAAAATAGATAACCAAAATTTATATTGATCTTCATGTCTTTAGTTCTATGTCTTTCAAAATTATTCTAATTTTTTATTTTAGTATTTAAAAATAATTTTATATTTACTCATGAAGGAGTAATATTTTAAATTATAGTTTTTGAAAAATTTATTGTGTATTTACTTTTAAAGAGGTAAAATATACCGTTTGATAATATTTTTTAAGAAATTATAATTTTTAATTGTTTGAAAGTTAAGATGTTGGAGTTAATTTATATTTTATAGTAGTAAAACATGCTAAATATTTTATTTTATATGAGTTTCTTTAATTCTTTTTAGTTTTCTTGAACTTTTAATGCATCTCTTTATATTTTATTGTGTTATAATGTTATATTATTTATTCATAAATTTAAAAAATTAAAGATCCGTGGGCTTACGCCTTATGTCTCGAAGCTTTCGCCTCACCCCGTATTAAGTAAAACGCCCCACTTCACGCCCTCGCCTTTAAAAATACTGCTTTTTCCGTTGCGATTCAAATAAATTACATTGAAGAAAAGTTGGATAAATACCAGAAATGAGCCTTGGAAAATGGACTTAAGATGCAAGTGTTTCAGTTCTATCTCCTTTTTTTAGTTTTGCTAGCTGGTTCGCTCTACGTGTTCATGGTTCGATTGGATCGGTTTTTTCCTAAAAAGAAACCAAATCAAGTAAGTCGGTTTTTCAAATATTAGAACCAAACCAAATCAATTAAGTCGGTTTTTTCTCGATTCGGTTTATGTCGGTTTTTCGATTTTTTCGGTTATTTATTAGTTTTTTCTTAGATATAAGACATACACTACCAAACACACATTTCGGCGACCATATTTTCAACGTAACATTATCAAATCAATTGCTCTTTGAGAAATCTATTATTTACCAAGATATATTGATGATAATTGAATCAAATAGTGATGAATAATTTAAGGACTCGATTAAAAATATATTATTTTTAACATGAAATAGATTCTTGCACTTAACAAAAGAAAACTATCAATTAAACTAGAATGTAAAGGTAAAGAACTGTACTAAAAGTGCAAACGATTAATATTTACTATAAAAAATTTAAAACTTTGTATAAAAGTATACATATATATATGTGTAATAATAAATTTAAAATAGATACTCCTATATTCGGTTTGGTTCGGTTTTTTTTAATTAAAACCAATACCAAACCAAATTTGATCGGTTTTTAAATATTAAAATCAAAACCAAACCAAACCAAAAAGTATCGGTTTTTTTGGTCGGTTTGGTTTGGTTTTCGGTTTGGTTCGAATTTTCGGATTTTTATGAACACCCCTAATCCCACATAATGGGATCTGGGAGGGTAGTGTGTATACAGCCTTACCTTTACCTTATAGAGATATAGAGGTTTTTTCTAATAGACCTTTGGCTCATAGAAACATAAGCACCACATTAAAGGAAAAAAACAAAAAGCGCAACGGTAAAAAGCCATGTAAAAGTAGCTCAAATAACAATCAGATAATCAGATGACCGCAATGAGAGATATGACAGGTAATCATATAAATCTAATGCCAACATAATACTATATTGGTAGATCTATCATTTTTAACCTCTCCCCTTTTGGAGTAACTTGAAGTTTTTGAGGAGTCACTGATAATGGTTTCCCTTGCTGCGATAAGGTGTGTAAGTTCTATGTAATAACTGGATTAAAAACATTTATACAATGAGGTTACTTATTAGTTACTCTTTCCATCTTAATTTATGTGAAAGTTTTGAATTTTAAAAGTCAAATGGCTTATTCTTTTACCGCAATTTGTTCACATGCCTTTTATATAGTATGAACTATTAATATTTGTTATTTATAGTACCTTTTCTGTAGCTTCTATATATATATATATATATATATATATAAATTTATTTTGAAAAACTTAAAAAATTTATATACAAATACACGATCAAAATTAAAATTTGAATCTTAAAAAGCGAAAAGTATCATGTAAGTTAGGACAAAAGGAATGAGTAATTAAAAGGGAATTTCTTGACAAACATTAATAAGTAAACTGATAAAGCAATATGTTATCTTAACGTTGTCGTATAACTTAAATTCGTGAAAAAATGCTAATAATACCGCATCACCAAGGCTTTCTTGCAGTTAGACAGCACTCTGCTGTGCTATTCACGCGTTGTTCGGGAAAGTGTTGTTCTATGGCATCTCTAAGGTTTTCCTGCCCATTACTTTTTTTTCCTCGACAAGTCTTGAATGTAAGGAGAGTACTTTCCTATCGCGTGCCGTGCAAGATAGTGTTGTCCGTACCACTTTTATTTATGAAAATTTTAAGCATTTCACATATTGCCAGTATATCAAACACATTAATTTCCCTTGGCTTCGATCTAGAGATAGCACAACACATGATGTGTGCATTAGGCGTATGCCGCATGTTTGAACCCGGGGAATGTTAGAAGGGCCTGTTATCCTTTGAATTGTGAACCATACGCCATCTAGCTCTCGAGATTTCTCGATTATTTATAAATTAAAAAAAAAATATTGTACAATAGATCCTTGTGATCCGGCTCTTCCCTGGACCTCGCGCATAGCCGGGGCTTAGTGCACCAGGCTGCCCTTTTTTTCAATGCCTAGGCAAAAATGCATCCCCCTAACCAGAACAAAAGAGACAAGTGCAAAAACGATGCATCAACAGTTTAACATGCAGCTAGAGCAGAAAACAACGAAAGAATCTGCAATCTGTAGGGCTAATATAGAGATAATATATTTACTTGAAACCAAGCAACTAAATGACTTGTTCTCACCAGCATCTGGATCACATACACGTAATGAAGCCTTAAAAAAGGACATAAATACAAATTTTCTTTTCTTGACATAACAATGCATCCCCAGCAAAACCAAGATCAAACTAATCATTGCTTAGAACAGATCAGGAATATCTCAACAGTCAACCATGAGTATTAACAGCTTCCCATACTCGATTTTTCAGAATAGGCTTCGTTAAATCCCGCACTTGCAAAGCTGCAGTGTTAAGTGTCTTGAATGTCAATGCATTAGCCTTCAAGAATAGTGCCCCGGTTAGAGTATCTCGCCTGGTATGCTCAGCAATCAGTTCATCCTCTACTGAATCTTGGTTTGATGGTCCACACATCTTGGAAGATTAAGGATGAAGATCCTCATCTCCTAGTCCTTTGGGAAAAAATCCTTCTTGTTATCCTGCCTGGCACCATCCATCTCCAAATAGTAAATGCGATATGAGCTCAGATGTCCGCTCGTCTGGCAAGTTGACAGCAAGCATTTCCTCCCCTCTTTTTGTGGAAAAGCTTCTGAAAGCCTATTAGTGCATAAGTATAAGTTAACCTTTATTTTTTCTGCTCTAGTGGTAAGCACCCTCTATTTTCAACCAAGAGGTTGTGAGTTTGAGTCACCCCAGAGCAAGGTGGGGAGTTCTTGGAGAGAGGGATGCCGAGGGTCTATCGGAAACAGCCTCTCTACCCTAGGATAGGGGTAAGGTCTGCGTACACACTACCCTCGCCAGACTCCACTAGTGAGATTATACTAAGTTGTTGTTGTCGTCTTCACAAAGGGAGAAATTTTCCTAAGTTGGCAACTTGGTAATCTTAGAAACATATAATGGTTAACTTGAAACCAATACATCCAACTTGGACATGCTATATCAAGAGTGCCACTAGTTTGCTTCTCAAACCAATAATTTCCTTTTGGTGGTCCAACATAAATCTCGGATGAAAAATGGTTCAAACAGAATTGAACATGCTCAATTCCTGTCATAGTGAAACTAGCAACAACAAACATGATTCTTTCACCCCAACTAGGCAAACAAATAAACAAGCAATGGATACCAAATCCGAAAAACAAGCAGCCCGAGAAGCTCCTGAATTCGATTAGGCACGTTTTACTTGGACTTGGACAACAACAATATGAATCATGGTGCAAACAACATTGCCATAAACAGACCCATGGAGAATAAAACACCATGGCCTTTCTTTTCAAACAAACCCAACTTGGAGAACTCCGACACAAACTTTGGATAATCTTTGGACGCCTCAGAAACAGAGTAATCATTGTAATATCCATTATTAAGATAGTGCCAAGCAGTAGCTGGATGGTATGCTACAAAAGCATCAGGGGAATTCACCACCAGGATGTTTTTTAACCCAATTTGATACATCATACACTTTACCCTGAATGGATATCTACAAATCTCCTAGTTTGCTGTGGTTCTTGAGCTCATCAGCTGTAATGTACTTCCTGGTTTCTTCTGCCATAGATCTATGAAGACCCTTTTCAGTTTTCTTTGTTCTCTGTTTCAACACAAGAAAAGACTCGAGATTTATTAGAAAAGTAGGTGAAGAAGGAAGTAAGGAAATTCTGAGCTGTCTCGCAAGATTTTGTTGGAAGCCTTTATGTGATTATTGGAGGTAGAGTAATCAAAAATATTTGCTAGGACGTGTGCAAATTTACCAGTACTACTTTGTAACTTGTTAGTAAATTTCGATGGTTCAAATGGTCCAGAAAATAATACTCTAAGATTGTCTCAAGAAATCTGAAAAATCCAGCAAATGACCTCCTGTCAACATTTATATAATATTCTTCTGCGGGAATGGGGAGGACACTAACATCAAAAGCAAACTACATAAAGAGCTGGACTGTGAATATAGCATTAAAAATGAGCCAAGAAATCAAAAAGCTTTCCCTTCCCAGAGAAAAATGGCTCTGTTAAACCCAAAATAGTCAATTCAAACAACAAAATTTTAAGTCATTAGATGCTTAAACATACAAACTGATAAACCAAACAAAATTTGCAATAGTCGACTCAAAGTTCTACTAAATTGGGAAAGCAGCTGGTGCTTTGGCAAAATCAAGGAACCAGCAATCCAATTCCAATACAAAGTCCAGCGCAAAGTGAAACTAAGCCTAAGAATAAATATATTATACTTCATGTAATGAAAAATTCCCCGCACCATAACCAAAATCACATCAAAGGAGATCAGCAACATTGGCTGGCAGCTCCTCAATCACGACATTATAAAACTTTTGTATGTCAAAAAGCATCCTTTCGTCATCCTTGGTGACAAAGTTGATAGAAACACCCTTCCTTCCAAATCGGCCACTACGACCAATACGATGCAAGTAGTTTTCTGGTTGAGTCGGCAGATCGTAGTTAATAACAAGGGAGACTTGCTGAACATCAATACCACGAGCAAGGAGATCAGTAGTGATAAGCACACGAGATGAGCCAGATCGGAACTCCCTCATAATGATATCTCTTGTGTTCTGATCCATGTCTCCATGAGTTGCAGATACTGTGTGATCACGGCCACGCATTTTATCAGTGAGCCAATCAACCTTTCGCCTAGTGTTAACAAAGATGACACTCTGGGTGATGGCCAAGGTCTCATAAAGATCACAGAGTGTTTCAAGCTTCCACTCTTCCTTGTCAACATTGACATAAAATTGCTTAATACCTTCAAGAGTGAGCTCATCACGCTTCACAAGAATCCTCACAGGCTTGTTCATGAACTTTCTAGTAATCTCCAGGGCCTCTGGTGGCATAGTGGCAGAGAAAACACCCACTTGGATTTTTGGTGGCAAAAGTTGGAATATATCATAAATCTGGAAAAAAATAAAAAGAAGCTTACACATAATATACTATTTGTGTGTCAAAGGACAAGCTAAATCATCAAACCAAAGAAGGAAAAGACCAGCAAAATCCGTCAGCAATTCTTAAAAGAATTTAGAGCACAACAAGGACGCAAAGAGAGGAGGAGAAGAAGATTCACCAATAAACTGATCAATAACACATAGCAGTACATACTTTCAAGCAAATCAAACTTAATGAAAGAAAGAGTGAGACCTACACAACCTCTTGAAATCAATGCGAACTTAGCCATGAGAATGAATGCTGGGCCTCTAAGACCCAACATATCCACAAAATGAGTGTCGTGGAGATCCAAAGGTTATCAGATGTGCACTCATATATTAATTGACAAGAATCAAGATTACACATGATCACATATGACGGATAATATAAATAGCACACATATAAGATAATTTCATAAAAATCGCCAGATATGGTTTTCTCATGTCTTATGCAGACCTTCAAATGTTCTGGTTCATAGGCACAGGAATATGATAATTGAAGATGGAAAGAGGGAATAAGGTAGACCTAAAATATCATGGAAGACTAATTAGTTCACTATCTAATAAGTAACCACAGTTAAGAAGTGAATTCCACTTTACTTTAGCACAAAAAGAAAAGGTGAATTCTACTTTGCTAGTAAAGAAGAACAGGCAATAATCGAATTCTAATTTGTTATTTAACCTTCAAACACAGAAACATCACTGAGTAACAAAACAAAAAAGTAAATCCTACAACTAAAAAAAATAAAACAACAAAAATTAAAGCAAAAGGGCAACCTGATCCTTGAAACCTCTAGAGAGCATTTCATCGGCTTCATCCAAAACAAACATCTTGATGTTGTCAGGGCGAAGAGACTGCCTGCGCAGCATGTCAAAGACACGGCCTGGAGTACCAACCACGACATGAACACCGCTCTGAAGGATACGCTGATCCTCACGGACACTAGTACCCCCAACACAAGCATGAACCTTCACGCCTAGATAGTCACCAAGTGCCCGCATAACCTTCTCAATCTGTTGAGCTAGCTCACGGGTTGGTGCAAGAACCAGAGCCTGACATTCAACTAAACTGTAATCAAGTTGCTGGAGAATTCCAGAGCAGAAAGTTGCTGTCTTTCCAGTCCCAGATTGTGCCTGCTGGATAACGTCAAGGCCCTTGCAAAAGGGAACAATGCCCCTTTGCTGAATAGCAGATGGTTTCTCGAAACCTTCAAGAAATTCAAATCAATGTTCAGTGCCCTGCTAAAGCTGGGAAGGGAAAAAAGAACACCAGAATTATAAGGAGATGTGAATTTACCATAGGCATAAATGCCCCTCAGAAGGTTTTCTTGCAAACCCATGGCATCAAAACTTTCGTAAACCTCATCGTATGATGTGAAGAATTCTTGCTGTTCAGTACCAAGCCTGTTTTTGGCATATCAACACAACCACAAAAGTCTCAATGAGCAAAGGCTAAGGGCCAAAGAACAGCATAAAGAGATAATCAAAGAACTATTAAGAAAAAGAGCAGGAAGGTTTTCTGCAACCAGATTACGATGACTACAATATAGGACAGAGAAGAGATAACTTACAGCTCTGTCATTTTGGCGTCATACTGACGAGCATCAAATTGAGAACCCTCTGGTGCCAAGCCTGCCATAACTGCAGGAAATAAAACAACAAATACATCAATTAATTAGTGGTATCAGCAATTTTTTTGATGCCGTTCCCAAAACTATTTTCAATTAAAGAAAAACAAATCTTATCAGTCACATAGCTGTTCATTGAACATCTTATAGATGATAAAAAGGAAAGGTCGAAGCTTAACCCATGACATATAAAATAATATGTAAGGTAGCTGTACATATAAAACACTTCAATAAATCACAAATAAAATTTTATTCACACAGTATCAATAACATTATTTGTTTTTCCTTCATTTGTTAGAAGGCAAGCACAGGCATCAAGATGCATCCTTGCTCATTTTCTTTTTTGAAAAAGTAAAAAAAGCGGAATACAGATAGAAATAACTGTTTGAAACTGGCTAGACAGCAGAACCAATATCTATAGCTATGACACTTGATCAAGGGAACAAGGGCGGGGAATGAGGAAGTGTTGGAGGAGGTGAGATGGCCCTAAACAAACAATGGGTACTCACTGTTGGTTCAATAAGGTATCAACAAGTGCAGAAGGGATTCCAAGTCAGACACACATCACTCGTCAAGAGGATATAGTCTCAAGCTTAGATAGAAGAGTCTAATGAGTCCACCAGTCCATCAATGGAATTTTGACAGAAAGCTCAAGTGAGAAAGTCACAATCTGTTGAATAAGATCAGCTCAAGCTGAGAGCTCAAAAAAGAAGGAAAACTCATCGCTTTTAAGGCCTACTAGCTAGAACGGATAGGAATTAACTCGTCCTACATTCAGTGGCTGGTGTGGGTTTGCAAAACGCAAGAATGTTAAGTTTTACAAGGCATATAAAGCACAGATGGCACATCTAGACATTATATTCTCCTTGCATGTGCTTCCAAAACTACCCCACCTCTAATCTTTGCAAAGCTAACCCCTTTAGTAGGCCACTCAACTACTTCGATCATTCTTGTTTATGTGAAATTTTTACGTTTTTCGGGGGTCAAGTTGACTAATATTTGAAGCTAAATTAGATAAGATTAACTCAATATTTTAAAGTCAAAATTTAGATTCTCAAAACACTATACGAAAAGTATTATAAGTTGCAATTCTTGTCATAACAATATGATGAAAAAATGTATTTCAAAGTGTTGGTCAAAGTTTACATAATTTGAATCTCGAAAAACAAATAGGTTCACATAAACTGGAATGGAGTACTAATTCCAAGCTAGTTGGGGCCAGCTTTATAAATCCTCAATTGTGATAAAAAATTATGAATCGTCAATATCCATTTCGCTTTATAGGAACTGTTTCATTCCAATACTCAGTAATTTTGCACACTACTCCAAAACACAAAAATAAAAGAAGAATAAATAGATCGCTCGTTTTCCAATAAATTAAATCACAAATCTAATTAAACCCACATTAGAGAAGAGCAAACACGTCAAAACAACAACACCCAGTTGCAGAAAAGTATTATTCAACACCGACGAATCATAAAAACTCAAACTTTTAATTAAACCAAAAGTTAGCGATACGAAACCCTAGGAAATAGATGTAAAATCAACAGACAAACAAACAAGGAAAAAGGAAGGAGAATAGAGTTACCTGATAACGATATGAAGTGTGTTAAAGGGAGATCTGAAGATTTGAGAGGGATTTTTGAGGATTAGGGTTTTTCAAAGACTACTGCTTTTTTTCCAAAAACTCCTCGGATCTACGCCGCGGAGTTCAGGAAACACAATATCTGTGAGAGAGAGTGAGTTATATATGACACTCTTGTCTTTTTTATGTTTTCCACGAATTTGTAAAATATTTTTCTTTTACCTGTTACAACAGGTAATTTAGTAGTTTTAATATTATAAATTGTTTTTTATACAAAATTATAGTATGTAAATATTATGATAGTATAATATCTAAGTTAAATTAAAAACAGGTTGTGTATTTTGGGGCCTTGGACCGCTTCAACAGGGCTTGTAGTCTCTCGTGATATATTCCAACTTTGCATTGCCAATTTGGTTAGTATTTACCGACGTGGATTCCACAAACTGAACTGAAAAAGAAAAAGAATACTTTATCAAGAAAAAAGAAAGGAAAACAAGAAAAGAAAAGACAGAAACAGACAATGAGACTTAGGTTTCCTTCTCAAACATTAAGTGTGTTTGTTTTTAAAATTTAAATTTTAATTATTCAGATCTTAATCATTATATGTGCTTATTTTTTTAACTTCACAACTACTTAATAGGTCTGAGTATGTCTGTATGATTAAGATCTATAACAGAGACTTAATTTCATTAAGATGCTATCATCCATATTCATTATTAACTACCGCCACTGCCTACCATTATCAACTACCATCACGCTACCACCGCCATTGCCACCACCAGACCACCATCATCCTCAATCATAGTCGCCGCCATTATCGACTCTCACCACTCACCATCCTCACCACTCTCACCACAATCATTCTCAACCACAATCAACACTCATATTCACCTCAACTACCATAACTAACCACCCACCACCATCAACAACCACAGCCGACACTGCCCATCATTATAACCTACCACCACCCGTCATTATTAACTATCACCACCAACTACCACCATCCTCAATCATAATCGCCACCACTAGCTACTACCTTGATCCACCACCATCAACCAAAACTATCACCAATTACTGCCTCTAGTTGGCATTCACCTGTTAGTCATCACCGCCAACATCTATTATATTTTTAAAAACTATATATTTTAATGATAAAATATTTTATTAATTAGTATTTCATTTGAAGTTTATGTTTATTAATTTTCAAATAAAGATAAATTTTATATATTCAGATGTTAAAAATCTAATAGTATTAATCATTTAGTATTCAGATCTTAATATACATCTTAATATTTTAATGTGTATTCATATTCAGATGTCTTAATCTTAATACACATCTTGATATTCAAATGTGTATTCAGATTCAAACGTCTTAATCTTAAAAAATAATAAATGAGGCCTTAGAGCATGTTTGGCCAAGCTTCTAGGATGCCAAAATTACTTTTTTCCCCATAAAAAAGTACTCTTTAAAAAATTTAAGTTGTTTGGCCAAGACGGAGAAGTACTTTTGGCCAGTAGCAGAAGCAGAAAATTCTAGCTTCTTCCAATAATTAAATTTATATTTTTCAAATTATCCTCACCATAAATTTATATTTTTCAATCTTACTGATTTAAGCTTTTTTTTAAAATATTTTTGTTTCTAGTTTTTACCATTCTTTTAAATTTAAAAATATCATATACATGAATCATATTGTAACTTTCCAAATTCTTTATTGATTGTTTTTGTATTTGATTTTTTTTTGTGTAATGTCGTGTTGTAACTTTCCAAATTATTTTCTATGTCCTGTAACTTTCCAAATTATCTTATTTTTTCACACTAAAGCAAATTATCCACATCCTTATTTGAATTATCAACTCTTCCTACAAATAATTATTTATAATTTCTTCTATTATAGGCTATTGATTAAAGAATCTCTAACACAGTTTATCAAATCTAATTTTTGAAATTGCATCGCATAATCTATATATTATTAAAAGAAGAAGAAGAAGCCTTCACATTAAGCAAAGAGATAGCCTCGTAATAGGCAACTTGGCAATTTAGGATAAAGTTAGTTAGGTTAACTAATAATTATATTTTTTTTGAATTTAAATTTATAAATAAATAAATTAACATTATGTGTTATTAATACTTAGTTATTCTTTTTGAATTTGAATTTAAACATACTTAATTAACTATTTTTTTTTACGAAGGCATGACATACAATATACTTATGAAATTATATTAAAGTTGTATGAAAATTGTATTTAAGTTGTATTCTGTTGTAATATATATTTTTATTTAAATATTGTATGAAAGTAAAAAAAATAATTATATAATATATGAATCGTTGTATGAAATTGTTATAAATACTATTTTTTTTTACATAAAGTTATTGATGTATCAAAATTATTTTAAAAGAGGAAATATTGATTGGAATTTCAGAGAGGAAGAAAAACATACCACTTACAAAATATATATAAATTATATATAAAATACATACAAAAGACATATTGTATAAAATTTGTATGAAAATTGTATTTAAGTTGTATTCTGTTGTAATATAGATTGTTATTTAAATATTGTATGAAAGTAAAAAAAATAATTATATAATATATGAATCGTTGTATGAAATTGTTATAAATACTATTTTTTTTTACATAAAGTTATTGATGTATCAAAATTATTTTAAAAGAGGAAATATTGATTGGAATTTCAGAGAGGAAGAAAAACATACCACTTACGAAATATATATAAATTATATATAAAATACATACAAAAGACATATTGTATAAAATTTGTATGAAAATTGTATTTAAGTTGTATGATGTTAAGTTGTATTAAAATTTGGAACTGTTGATGTCTGGTATCTGGTTTCCTTCTTCGTGTACACGAATAGAGTCCCCCATTTGCGAAGAGGTGTTTTGAGGCCGCTGGGTTTGGGCCTTTGCAAACGCGAGGTGGAGGTCGTGAATGCGGAGGGATTGCCTGAGGAAACTATGCGAGTGCGAAGGGTCAATTGCGAACACGTAGAAGAAATAGGGGACTGGGTCTGGAGCCATTTAGCCTTCATGAACGCGGAGCTCCAACCACGAACGCAAAGCAGTGGAGCCTGGAGCCTTCGCAAATATGAGGCTTTGATCGCGAACGTGAAGAGGGAAATTGAAGGCAGTGCAAGTTTGGCCTTCGCGAATGCGAAGGGATTTCTGCATTCGCGAAGGAGGGTCTCCTGGGCAGTGATGTTTTATAAACGGGGGTTTTACTCATTTCTCCCATTTTTCATTTGGTTGGATGAGTTATGGAGTTCTTGGAAGGGATATTTTCATCATCTATGTCAAGGTAAGTGATTTCCACCTATTGCAAGTTAAATACTTGGATATGGATTTAGACATAAAAATTGTAGAAATTGTGAGATTTGAAGAAAAACCTAGAAATTGGTATTTTTGGATTTTGACCACGAATTTGGGCATAGAATTGGAAATAATTTATGTATTTGAGTTTGTGAGGTTATATGTAAAGTTTATCTTTGAAATTTTTTGGAATCTGGGCATGTGGGCCTGAGGGTGATTTTATCAACTTTTCGAGCGGAGTTGAGAAATTTTTTAAATCGAATTGTCGCGAGTATTTGAGTATATTTTTTATGTGTTTGCACATTTATTGAATGGTTTTGGAGCATTGGGCACTGGCTTGAATTGTTGGAAAGGCTTGAGAGCCGGTTATGGAACTTCAGAGCGAGGTAAGTCTCTTTTCTAACCTTATAAGAGGGAATTTACCCCATAGGTGAAATAATTCAATATGTGCTTCTATTTGTGGGGACTACATACGCACGAGGTGATGAGAGTCCATACGTAGCTACTATTCCTATTTATGTCTGGGTAGCTTTAGGTTTATACCATGCTTTGTGGATACTGTTACTTGGTTATATTTGTTAATTGTATCAAATTGAACTAAGTTGGGGATTTTTAAGGATTTAAAAGCTTCAAGTTGAGTTGTCTTCATTTTTAAAAGAATCAAGAAAGGATTATGATTTAATGATAAATTTATATTTGATCGCTTCGCATGTATGATCTACGAGCGGGATAATTTCTTAAATTTATATTTGACCGCGTCGCATGTATGATTCACGAGCCGGGTAAATAGATGCATTTATGGTTCGCGCCGTTCGGCCTTCGGCAATGCATAGTTTAAATATTATGTTGGATCGGGCCATACGACCACGACATGATTTGTGCATGACTTAATTGGTTGTTTTGGAATTATTGATAATTGATGTGGCCTCATTGGATGGAGATATAAATTGTTAGAAGATGAAAATAAATTTGGAAATCCCCTATTAACAAAATTTTTTTTACCTGCTTCATGTTATTGAGTTTATAGTTGCCTTATAAAATCCATAACTTATCAAATTATCGGGATATTATTGTTGGCCATAGTAAGTGTCGGAGTCGACCTCTCGTCACTACTTCTTCGAGGTTAGACTGGATATTTACTGTGTACGTGTTATTTTCATACTCATACTACACTTGTTGTACATTTTGTTGTACATGCACATGTATCGCTAGTGGCCTTGTGGGCGCAGCGGTGTGGTTGATACAGGAACTTAGGTGAGTTGCATCTTATGAGACGATCCGCAACCAGTAGAGTCTCCTTCAAAGTACTTGCATTTTCTTTTCTGTCCAAATTTGTATTCCAGATAGTTATTGTATTGTATTTTAAATTCCTAGTAAATGCTCATGCACTTGTAACACCAGATTTTGGGATGATTGTGGGATAATTCAGTATTGAAATTTGCTAAAAACATTATTATTTACTCTGTGAAGTTCAGCATTTATTATTTAATTTAAGGAAATTATGATTTCAAAAATACTAAAATGAGAACTAAATTAACTATTTGGTGTTGTCTTGCTTAACGGTGGTGTCTGGCGACATCATGACCTTTAGTGGATTTTGGATCGTGACATAATGTATCAAATCGCCGCCCTGTCCAGATTCATCTCAAGGTCTTCCAACAGGTGCAACAAATTCTTTAATGTACTCAAAAAGGATAACGACCTCGAATGGACGACCGAGTGTAAATAAGCGCTGAAGGAGCTCGAGGAATACCTGTCATCACTACCCCTACTCTCAAATCCTAAGCCTGGAGAATGCCTCTTCGTTTACCTCGCCGTCTTAGAAGTAGCGGTAAGTGCAGTCCTGGTTCGAGAAGACAAAGGTACACAATCTCCAATCTATTATATCAGTAAAACACTTATCAACGCCGAGATGAAGTATCCTCACCTTGAGAAATTGGCTCTGGCCCTTATCATAGCTTCAAGAAAGATAAGGTCATACTTCCAATGCCATCCAATATCGGTCGTCACAACATTTCCTTTGAGGAG